GGGGGGGAATGAGTTGTGCAAGCAATCTCTCTTTATCGCTCTGCCCATGCTAACAGATTTGTTGTGATCAAAAGAGTGATGCCATGTTTCAGGAAGAAGTGGGGAAAGACCGAATTGTCCACTGATATTCTCTTTCTCCAGTTCCATGAGCGGTCAAGCCAAGACTTGGAATATGCTTAACCAAACACACCTTGGCTTGGACAGGGCCCTGTCCTCGAGTATCTCCTACAAACTGTGGCTCCACCTTACGCCCCATAAAAAGCCCTAGCCTGGTGCCTATGGGAAGGGGGAGCAGTCGCTCGTCAGGGGGTTCAAAGCCCACACTTGAATGAAAAGAAGCAGCCTCATACTAAGTCAGATCCAAGCCATTATTTCTAATATAATGCAGGAAAGAATATATGAACGTATGAAATGGTTTTATGCAGCCAGATCATGGGCAACATCTCTGCAGATGGTCTCAGATGGGGGTCTTTCTGAGCCTTGCAACCCAACCAAGACAGGGAACTTGTCATGCAAAGCACACCCTTCACCAATAACCAAACGAACATCCCCCCGTCCCCATCAAACAAGCTGAAAGAAAGGGACTGGGCTGCAGATCTTTAAGAGTTAAACCGTTTCATTTATGTTGCAGAACAACAACACTCTGCTCACAGAAGCGGAGCTGAATACTCAACTCCAGCCAATCTGGTGCGGAGTCTCCAAGGGAGTAGCAGCTTTTAGGACGAAAACCTGCATGCATACTAATGCGGGCACTTAAATTTAACAGCTATAGCCTACATATCTCACTGGAATTTACCGAGCATCCCAACCCTCCACATTAATTATTGGTGGATAAAAAGATCATGGAAGAGCATTAGAAGGTGCTGCAGATACAGGGTAAATAGTATTAATGAGGCGACATCCCTTTTGACAAGGTGCTAACAAAGTACCAAATGCGTCACCTGATATTATCGTCAGGCTCAGGTTCACTATCGCTGTCCTCTGCCTTGCGTTTAATTCCTCCTGCCGGGGATGGCGAATCGTCAGATGTGAAGCTTGTATTAGGAGAAGCTGAAGGAGTCTGGGGATGCAGTCGTTGTACGGAGAGTTATGGAAAAGGTCTCATTACACTTATAAAATTAAAATTAAGGGCTTTGTCATAAAGAACTGAAAAAGATATCCGTCCATTTCACTTAGGTGCAGAGCCTGGGATCAAAGTGAACCACGCACAAAACTAGTTCCGCAAACCCCCGGGGCTTTGGGTGAGCAGTTCTCAAACTGCGGCCTTTCATTCAACACAACAAAGCATTTTGGAAATTGAGGGGACTTCGAAAATGAAGGCTCCTGGCTCTTTGAGGCGAGGGAACGAGGGTCTTACTGGACATGCTGCCCCCTTGCCAAAATCGACATGTCCGTGCACTGCGCTTGTTACTTTCACGTTCAGTACATATCCACAGTGTGTACCCTTGCGCTGTTTATTTTATTTACATTTATATCCTGCCTTTAACACTGCAATGTTTGAAGTGTGCGTGGACTGGAGAAGGCTTCCACCAAATGTCTTCTCAGCTATAACATGTCCCCAGACGGAGGTCTAAGCAGGAGTAGATCGGCATGTGGTACTCAGAGATCACAAACAAGGAACACACATTCTCCCAGGTCACACAACTGGTTGCCAATTCACCTCCCCCACCCCCGTTTCAATAAGCAACTTCTGATTGGCCCAGTCAGGTGATACCATGATGAGGAAACCCAGTCATGATGGGTTAATCATGGGCTGAACAACCCACAGTTAACCTACAATTCGCTCTTAGGTTAATTGTTGGTTGTTTAATCAGATTTTGGTCAGGTTTTCGAAGCTGTGGATGCATACAACGCCATGCGTCTTTGACTCATCAATGCCCTGGATAGTGTCCCATGTCAAAGGACAAGATGTGCCATCCATGGACACTGACAAAGCAAGGTGACAAATAGGTTAATTTCCTGTTTTGCTTCTCATTTGACAGCTGTCAAATGGTGAGCTGTCAAGGGAGAAAAAAGCCATGAGGGAATATTTGCTAACAAAAAGCATGCAGATCACCTCCTCCTTAGTGTGAGCCTCTAAGTTTTCTTTGGCCCTGAATATTCTCAGTGTTTTCTACCTTTTTTATTTTCGGGAAAAAGTCAAAAGGAGTGTTCACAAAAAAGGGCTGTCTTTCAACTAAGTGGAGAATGGGAAGGTGAGGAAAAGTTGGGATACAGGGGAACTATAGAAAGAATGGATAAAAACCTTGAAGATCTCACTGCAAGGGGTGCGGAGAAGCCGCCACTCTGATTCATGGGCCAACTCCCCTTGCAGCTTTCTTTTGTCTTGACAGCTCTCCATGACAGCTGTCAAGTGACCAAGTGACCGTGAATTAGCAGTAATTAATTTTCACCCTTTTCTGGTCAATGTCCCTAGTTAGCACTCATTGCATGTTGATAGCAGGCTCTTATCAGGACACTGGCCAGGCGCACCTCCATATTTTGGTTAGTCAGAGTTGCTCAGTTGAGCAACTGCAGAAAACTCAAAGGGGTGGGATTAAAGGAAGTATCTGTGCACGTACACACAGGAAGAGTAGGCCAACTGCCGAGAGCTGCTCCAATGCGCCGCGTGGGTACATCAGAGGGGGCGTCGGTGGCAGGCACTGTGGAGATCAGGAGAAGCAGTTTCTGGAGTCGGGGGTGAGTGCAAAGGGGTTTCAACTGCAGCTGGGCTGGAGCCACCGGATGCCCTGGGAGCCTGAGTGGGTAGAAGGGGCCCAGCCACCTGGACAAGCCACACTGCACAGGCTGCTGTGCCTTGCAGCCTCATTCAGTGTCCATGGGTTTGTACACCATGGGACAAGATCAGGCTGACTGGGAGCTATTTATTTCCACTGAGAGCCGGTGTGGCGCAGTGGTGAAGAGCGCAGGACTGAGGCTCGGATGACCTGGGTTCCCCCTGGCTGCAGCAAGAGAGCACTTGCATGCCCCCCACCGAAGGTGTTGCTGTGGGGACCCCCAGAGCCCAACCCCACAAGAGCTGCTCCCCGGGGTGAGTAACCCGGAGATCGCCTGTGTGCCAAGCACTCTGCTCTCACTCTGGAAGGGTGCGAAGGCTGGCGGGGAGGCAGCGGGCAGGTGGGGAGAGGAAGAGGGGCGGCTGGCGGGGGCCGCTCACTGCTGCCCCCCCCCGCCATGCACCAGCAACACCACCCCAGCAGAGCAAGCCGGCCTGGTGCCTTGAGCTACGAGAGCCCCGGTCCTGCTGCCTTCCCCACCGCGGAGCAACCACAGCGAGGGAAAGGCAGGCGCTGGGCAGGACTGGACCCTGCGGTGCTGCAGGCCGACGGTGCCACGACTCTGCTGGTGCTGAAAGCAGCCGAGGCCAGCAGCCTCCACGCCCAGGGTCGCCCCGCATCCATTAGGGGAGCCAGTGTGGCGCAGTGAGGAAGAGCACAGGACTGGGACTCGGGTGATCCGGGTTCGAGTCCCCGCTCGGCCATGGAGCCAGCTAGGTGACTTTGGGCCAGTCACAGACTCTCAGCCCAACCGACCTCACAGGGTGGTTGTTGTGAGGATAAGATGGAGGAGGAGAATGATGTAAGCTGCCTTGAGCCCTTTATAGGGAAAAGGCAGGATATAAATCCAAAAATAAATAAAAAAATTAAAATGGTGGCAAAATGTGTGTCCACCAACCCATGGTTTCCTGAGGAAACGTTCTGCATGCATACCATAAACAGCTCAAGTCTATAAGACAAACACTTTAAAAACATAGCCCAAACCTACACTACTCAAAATTGGCGATACACAGCAACTCTGGCTTCAAATACAAGAAGCTTCTCCACATATTATTTCATTAAAAATTTTTCTATACCCATCATTTGGTAAAAAATCAGTTTACACAAGAACTTTTTTTTATAAATAATTAAATCAGCAAACAATTAAAAACATATATATGAAATGAAGTTTCATTTTCAAAGTAGCAAATAATCACCTCCATTCAACCCTCTAGCCACTCTTATGGAATGCCTTTCGTTTATTATTTAAATATTAATCCTAGTTTTTCTCTTTAGGCCCCAGAAAGATAGATGCGTACATGTTACCAAAACTACATGAAACAAGTAAAGTCACCACCAAAATCTGCATAATCCAGAACAGTAACACATGACCGACTGACCGACCGGGGGAAAACAACATGCTCTCATAGACTTTATCCACATCCAAAGGCCTGGTAAAAAGGGGCCTCTTCCCCTGCCAGTGGAAATGCATATAACAGAGTTCCAGGAGCACCTTGGAGGCAAGGGCATCCCCCGACCATGGGGACAACACAAAGAAGGCCCTGCTTGTGTTGGATGGGGAGGAAGCCCAGGGAGTTAAAAAAACCGAGATCTTCGCAACTTTTGCAGGAGCTATAGGAAGCTCGCAATATTGTACTGCACAATTGTGAACATGCACATAAATAATATAGCGAGAACAGCAAGTTTAAGACAGACAATATATTATAAGTTCAAAAACATACACATTCAATGCATTATAAATTCAAAGCTCTCCCCAAACCACAGTTGACTTTGCCCAAGATAGCTGGAAAAGTGGATTCCATGACTTAGAATAGCTTTTAGCCCTGGGGACTGAGCCCACGGGTGAAAGGGTGACAGAGTTTGGGCCTCTGCCCCTCACCATTAACCTTTCCCCATGGGAGGGTCATCAGCAAGGGGAACATGTGAAGCCATGTGACTTCCTGACCTCACTATTAATTCAACTATTAGGGGTAAATGAGTGAGGACAAAATTAGGAGCCGGAGAGGGAAGAGAAGAGCTTGTGCATCATTTTGGGCTCCCTGAGGAGAAATGGGCTAAAAATGAAAATAAATGATGTTTTTCACACTATGGGATTTATGAAACACAAAACCCAGAATAATGCTCAGCCGCCCCAGGGCTGTGGTGGATCCCTGGGGATCTTGGAGGTGAAATTGCTCACACCCAACTTAAAATTCAGTAGCTGCTCGCTGCTGCATTGGTCAAGTTCCACCCGACGAGAACGGCTTGCCGAAACAAAACCGAGCCGTCGGCGACCCACAACAAACCCATACAATTTCAGCCATGTTAGTAGTAACATTTAGCGCAGCCACTTACCGTGTTCTGTCTGTCCTGCATTCTCATTTCAAAGATGGCTTGCCTTGGATTGCTGATTGGCTGGTGACTCGATCTATTTCCCCGCCCCAGGGGCTGTGGGGCGAACTGCCCTCCAAGCATGGAATGCTGTTCCCTCTATAGGGAGCAATCACAGACGAGCGGACATGTTTATCACCAACTACCGACACGAGTGCTGGGCAGAAAGTGGATCCCCGCAATGCCCAGGTCATCCGGCCCCAACTTCAAGTCCAGATGTGCTATGCCTGAACTGAGTCGCAGCGATAATGCCAGAACTATGACGTGAGGCCACCAGGAATCAAAAGCTCAAGCTGGGCTGGTCGTTCGTCCTCCTAGATATGCTTGGATGAGTCCAGTGGGAGCAGCTCACTCAAAAGCAGACCTACAATTTGCGAGTTTCGTAAACCAGGACTGTCTGAGCAAACGAGCTCAGGAAGAGACTGCAAGGTGCTTCAACAGAGCCCTAGTTTGCAATGCAGTTCATTTCAGTAGGAGAGACTGACGCAAAGATCCTCCATATATTTTTACCGCATCACTGTCTTAACACAAAGGATTCCTGGCAGACCAAACCATGAGAGGAAAACTCTTCTCAATTAATGACCTGCTGACGGACTCCACGTTCTGTCTCTGAATAAACAGAACTGCTAAACTTGACATCACTTAATTAATAATCTATCAATGGACTGGGGGGGGTTCTCGAAGTTTCAGCTCCTAGCAAAACGGGGAGCTTCTGAGAATATAAGCTTGGCCATGTTTGTCTGAGAAGATGGCACATCCCGACTTCAGAAAGCCAGTGGGCATTTCTTTCAAAACTGAAGCTTAATGTAGTATTGGCAGTTTATTAAATTGGTTTACAGGAAATTAAACTGGGGACAAAGGGGGTAGGGCAGACGTATCAGGCCAACAGAGGGGCAACTAACAATATCTGCATGAAAGCTGCATGTAGAGAATTCCCGCCTCCCTATTTGCATAGCATGGGGATTTCTCACTGGCTGGGAGACGAGCTACAAATCCAGAGCGCTGGCTAGGCTTCCTCTTGAGTTGTGCGTCCAATTCTGGGCAAAACAGTTTAAGATGCCGACAAGCCGGAAGGGTTCAGAGGAGGGCAACATGGATGATCTGGGGACTGGAGGCACAGCCCTACAGGGAGCGGTGGAAAGAGCTGGGCATGCTTAGCCCGGAGAAGAGAAGACCAAGGAGAGAGATGACGGCACTCCCCAAGTCCTTGAAAGGCCGTCAACAAAGAGGAAGGACAGGATCTCTTCCTGAACATCGCAAAGGGTGGGACATGGAATGACTGGCTTCAGTTGCAGGAAGCCAGATTCTGGCTCAATATCAGGAAAAATATCCTGACTGTGAGAGCAGCATGGTTATGGAGCCCAGGACCCAGAGAGGTTGTGGGCTCTCCTAAACTCAAGGCACTGAAGATGTGGCTGGACGGGTGGCTTAACTGGACATCCTGCACTGAGCGGGGGGTCAGACCCACCAGCCCTCTGGCCTCTTCCAGCTTTACCATGCTATGATTCTAGCCTGGGACGGGGTGCAGAACTGGCACAGAAAAAAGACCACAAATATCATCTGCTTCGATGATTCAATGATCTGTGACTGCAATCCGCCTCATGTACCATTTAGCTCCATTTAGTTTTAAAATTTAGGTACCCGACAGTTAAAATCTTTTAGGTGACAAGCAGTAAAAACAAAGATTAAACCCTAATCAGTGTTGACAGCCAAACACAACAGTGTTCATAATTAATTAAAAGCAGCAGAGGAAAAAAAGGGTACCAGGAAAGAAATAAACGTATAAAGACAAATCTACTTAAAAAACAGCAAGAGGAAAGGCCTGAGAAAATCAAGCTGGCTCTGCTGGGACCAGCCAGGCCTCTCTGTGGATGCTGCATGCGCAGCCGGGTCCCAGCTGCTTGCGTGGGCCCCCCTCCGCCCTACCGAATGGGGAGGGGCACAGGACCCCCAGTGGCCATCAGTGAATACGTGTGAAGTCAGTCCACGGGATTCACTTCGGAGAAAAAGTGCAAAGCACTGTGCTGCACGCCCCAGGTTTGCACTGGGATCTAAGCAACATACCCCCAGGAGGTGCACGTGCCCGAGGATGCAAGTTCTTTTCACGTAGAAAGGAGCACCAAAAGCAACTAGCGGGGTCGGCTGTTCAACTGGAGAAGAACCATGGGGGACACGCAGGCTTACTCTCTGGGCGACAGATTCGGGGAACTGTTTGGTCAGATCCATGCGCCCAAGTGGGCGAAGGCCGTATTTCTCAAGCGGCCACGCTGTGGCACACCTCCAAGGACTTCAAAAGCAGTCTGTGCTCTGGGATGAGGGAACTGCTATTCAAGGGGGCGGGGAGTCAAAATTCCCACTGAGCAACTGCAAACACTGGAATGACCACCGCAGCTCTTTGCAACCCAACCTAAAAATAGCAGCAAGATTTGTGCCTTGTCTCTAACCTGCGTTTTGATCCCAAAGGCCGCTCACAGAAACCACACGAGGCCCGTTTCCATCCCACCCTGCTTATCTGACTTGACAATAATGAGGCAGCAATACATTCAGGCAATGGGCTTTATCCTTACCTTCATTCTTTTCTTTTTCTCCTTCTGTCTTCTTTTGAAATTTTCCTAACATAAAGAAGGGAGATCTTAAAGAACTCTATGCCATATAAATATATGGAAATCTATCAGAAAGACTGAGAAAATAAAATCCCAGATAAGCTCTACACATATTTTTGCAGAACTGCCTCTTCCTGCTCCCAAGAAGACTGATGCTCTCAATAGGAATCCTCTTAAAATTATACACAAACCAGCGAAGTTTGGTAGCATCCAGTTATTTATTTTTTTAATCAGTTTCAGGGTTATTTTTCCAAAATAGAGTCCGAAGAGCATTTCAGGGTGCCATCTAATCTGGATGCTTGTGGCACTCCACCCTGAGGCATGCTAAATCACCTCCACGTTCCACCTGCCCTGCAACGTATTTTGACAGGAAATTTTGGCTAAGTGCGGGACATCCAAGAGAGGAGGGGGAAGTCCCCGCTCAGGATACCTCACCCGTGTCCTCCCCATCCAAGACCACGGAGCCCCTGCGAAGGCCCTTCTCCAGGGCTCCCCGTGCAACGCAGAGACGCGGGTGCACAGTTCTTGCCACGCTGGCTGTGAGGGGATGGGGCGGCCATGGACTCCCAGCGGTGAGCTCAGGGCGAGTTTCTGAGCTTGCCCCTGCGACTCTGAAAAATCCTGACCAAGTGTTTTGCTCCAAAGTGGGAGCTAAACCCTGTATAGGGAGAGCAAAGCCGCGCTCCTGCTTGATACGCAGAGGTGCTGCTCTGCTATCCCTATAAACGAGATTTTAAAGAGAGACGTCACTGCTACTTGGACGTTCTTTTTCTCCAACAGTAGGGATCTTTTAAAAAGCTTAAACCAGCAGCACTCGGAGAAGCCTGATGAAACAAATTCAAATGCAACAGACATTTATTGGTAGCTTATACATGCAGACCGACTTCCCAGGACTCTGATTTAAAAATACGTTTGTCACAACTGGAGTTACAAATGTGGGCATAAGCAACCACGCCGACCACTTGTAGCTGTTATTAAAACGTTATGTACAAATAAACACATGAGGAAGCATTGCAAGAACACTTCTACCTCGTCATCTTTTCGCTTCTTAAAAATGCTGTCTTCAACTTCCCCAACAGCCAGCATGATCATTTGCACTCTCTGCAAGTTGACGTAGCCGTTTTCTGTAAGGTATCCCTGAGAAAACAGAAGAGTAACCAGCTGTCTTCCTTTTAAACATTCCCAGGGTATTATTAAAAAGGAAGGCCTATCGCTTACCCCAGTTTTGTGCACAACGTTTTTATAAATGTTCACCAGACGGTCAATTGCTCCTTCCCTGTGGCACAAGAATAAATCAAATAATTTTAGCTGTTATCAATGAATGTTGCACACTCTTATGGCCCCCTAGACAGTGTTGGGGGGAGTGAGGCAGTGGGTTTGGGATTCCCAAATTCCAGATCCTATTCTCTGCATTACAGACAGTGCAGAAGGAGCTGGCTATTTCTCCCAGGTCGTTAAGACCACTCGGGAGAAGGCTGCTGGATGCTATGTATCCTGGCAATGCTCTGACCTCTTTCCCTTCTTTCTGAGATGCTCAGCAAGGTGGCCAAAATCAGCTGCTTGGTTGACTTGTAAGGTAGGAGCAGCAGGGAGGTCCCTCTTACGACAACTAGAAAAATTCTTCTATCTTCCCAGGTGATTATGGTATGGCCAACCAGAAAATGAGAACCGAGCAACGGGCCTGAATATGGGAGGTTGATATCATGGCATGTTCGGAAGGATGGTGGGATAGGAAAAGCAAAACCGTTGTAGCAAAAGGACTTCCTGAAACACTGTCGTGTTCAGGCAAAGAAGCCAGGGCTTCCCAAAGTGATCAAAGAAGGTGGCACGATCAACGACACAAAATAATGTCAGTAACCAGTTCTGGAATTCACGGGTTCCGCACAGCAGGAAGCCTATTATGCTTAGGATCCTATTAGCATTTTGCTTGCCCAAGGGCCAATGCCGAGCTGCTTTTGGAGCAGAGGGAACAACACAGAATTGTACTAAACACCCTGAAGCTCTCCGGGACACCAAAAAATGCTTGTCAGACCTGGCCACCTTTTTGCCTGCCGTGTGTTGCTTTCCTCACCTGATCTCCAGTGAGGGCAGATGAGGAAGAAAGTCGTTCCCCACGAAGAAACACATGAACACCCAGTCATCGATACTTCTTTCGACATCAAACGTGAACGGCAGGCTGGCCATGGTGAGTTCTCGTTCCAAATACTGTAATTGTTTGAAAGAGAGTTGCTCTGTAAGTTGTGTTGGAGCCTGGCAGTCAAAGGATGTTTCTACTAGCTAATGGGAAGCTCCGAGGAGTGTAGCTAAACGTGCAGAGAAAGTATTTTACTTCTGTGCCACGCGGCCACAGTCCCGCCCCACTGGGCACGCATGCAGGTGGAAGAGTAAAGATGGGGTGGCACACTTACAAATGTAAGTCCCCACAGAACTTTCTCCAGAAATTCAACAATGTTCCACCTCTCTGGAAAACTCAAACTCCTTTCCCCCAAATCAAGGGCTTGCTTTCTCATCCACCAGCTGCACAGAAATACAATATTCCCCCTTCCCCACCCAAACTCTGTCCTTTGCACCCTTTCCCTTCCAAGACTTTCTCTACATCACAACACATTTGACCAGAAGGATGCATTTTCAACACACGGACCAACAAGGCTACGAACACGATTCTCCCATCCACAAAGGAATTCCACCCCGGGAGTTCCTTGTCTTTCGACAGCAGCTCCCCTCACAAGCAAGTCCATCTTCCATGGTTTTGGGGGGGGGGGGTCGCCCCAGTAGAAGTAGGGGATGGAGAAGGGCTCTGCAGGCCTGTAGTCTTTACAGGACCTGCAAGACCATAAAATGGAATGCCTACGGATCTCTCCCTGCCATCCCGGGACAGCAAACATGCAGATGAAGGGATCTGACTCTCGAGTCAGATTTTGTTCCCGCTTGGCATCTGCTTTTCATAACATCTCGCCCAGTGGAGAGGTCCGGAGAGCTCAGAGGCCGGCATTCTTTTGTGGGCTTTCAGGTGGCAGAAAGATTTGCCATTAATGTGGATTTTGAAATTCTGCAGACAAAGACCCTCTGGGGTATTAGGAGATGCATGGCAGCAGGAATTCAATGAAGAGAAGGAAAAGGGATGCCTGAAAATGCTGCTCCATTCAGGAGCGGGGTGTGAGCAGGTAGTCCAGGGTGAGCGCAAAAGCCAGCTTCACCTGCTTGCTCGCAAAAGAGCTGATCATCGACGAAAGCGGGAAAGTCTCGGTTGCCATGCCAACCTTGTGTGTTGCAATGTACAGCCCAATCCTGCGCATCTTTCCTTGGAAGGAAGTCCCATTGTGTGCAACGCTGCGGGGCAGAATCTCTTTCAGCCCGAGCCAAATCCAATTTCCCAGAAGCACTCAGGGCACATTCCACTGGCAGATGGGGTCAAAGCAAAAGCAAGCCGGGCTAAAGGCAAAAGCGAGGAGGAGGACGTAGCAGAACTGCCGGCATATTGTGGCTTCAAGCTCTTACCGCCAGCAACTAGGCCTTAAACTTTAACCTTTCGTAAATGGAAAAAAGCGGCACAAATGTCAAGAAACCACCAAACAATTGTTCAATGCCGCAGAGGATGTGGCCTTCTGGGGAACCTTGGAGGGCAGGATGCATTCTCTTGGAGGACCAGACCTCACTCCCTGGCCTGCAGTTCTGCATCCCGGTCCTGGGGTCTATTGCATAGCAACGCAGCCTTAATCCAAGCACATCTTAATACCACTTACTTCTCTTAAAACACATAAGCGAATAAAGATAAATTCTTGTTCCATCCCAGGAGGACAGTCAGCAAATTGATCATGCTGCAAAGCAAGGAAAAATGACATACTATTTACATGTGTTCTTCACAATGTTTTCTGTCCATGCAGAGCAGCAGCCAAAAAGCCCAGGCGTTCTGGCACTGAAAGAGGAATGTTGCCCAGGGGTAATGAGATGAGTGTGTGGGGGAAAGCAAGGGAAAGCAGTTTGGCTTGACAAGTTCTGCCTGCTCTTGGCTTGGGCCTCTGTTAATTAACAAGTGGCTTGCGCTTTGCAAAGAAACAACCCAGGATTAACCCAGGATTCTGAGTCTGGAGAAAAGTTAAAGCAAGCCAGACTTTGTAAGCAACTTCTGTCCATGACTTCAAATTGTGGTTGTCAATAAAGAAGCCATGATTTGTTTTCTGTTGTGGTTTCGGACATTCAAACAAACCACCATGAGGCTAAAGAAACCCTGGGTTAGTGTTATGTGTGAACCAGCCCATCGAGTACTGCTCTGTGTTCTTTCCTCTTGAATTGACTTGTTAGAAGGTTTCCATAGCACAGCTCCCCCCCGCCCCGCGTCTGCCCCATCCTTAGAATGTAGGTTCATCTGAGCAATTTATTCAGGGTTAGGCAGGGAGCATCGTGGCTAAGCAAATATCTGTACAGGGCTCTCCCACCCTAATGGATGATCTCATCCTTTGCTGACTATACCAGCTTCCAGGAAAGGGAGTTGCGCAGACTGTTCAACCTACCTCCCCCTGCTTTTCTTTAGGCAGACCTTGGCAGTCTTTAATTTCGTGACCAAACTGGTTGCAAAGACCACATGGTTTAGGCTTATTTGGCTTAAATTCTTCTCTGATTATAGTGAAATTTGGTTCATGCGTTGCTAGTCCAAGCATAATGAGGTCAGCTATAAAAGAAAGGAAAAAAAGAAAAAAAGCAAAACTCAAAAATTAGCATGCCTTTTGGGAAAAAAAAATACTCAGTTCAAATGATCCTACAAACCTCTAGAAGACTAGGGGAAAGCTGAGGACTCGTAAATTTCCTTCTCAATGCTCTCTTGTACAGAGATTGCCCAGGAAACAAAATTGGAAATTATGCTTAGTGCTAAATAGAAAATGGAAGGCAAACACATGCAAGAAAGGGGTGGGGGAGGTTAGATGTCTCATTCCAAACAAACAAACAAATAAATCCCAAAACCTCTCACTGTGGGTGGATCATCTGAATCTAATCGCTATGCATGAGGACTTAATACAAAACCCAAAGCAAGTACGGCTACATTAAGAACAGTTGAACACATTGCCTTAGATTTGAACTGAATCTGATGCACTGAAGCCACACTGGTCTCAGTGGGATTTAAAGAACGACTAACTTGTCCCACTGATGTCAATGAGACCTAAATTAAACTTGATTAGTAAGTAGCTAAACTATTACATTTTCTGGAGAACTTATCTCTTTTTTAACAGGTAAACAAATCTGCACACTAGCTACCAATAACATATTCAGCCATGTTGCAGATTACTAAATTTAGATACTAGTGGAGATTGAAAATAGAATTGAAATCACAAACTTAATTATAAATGGTGACATTGCCGACTAAAGAATAAGATATGCAAGATTTTAAATTGTTTTCATATTGGGATTGCGACCAGAGAGTGGGGATGTACCTTGGGTACAGCCAACTTCCTCAGGAAAAGTGAATAATGGGGTCAGGAGTCCTGTATTTATCCTGTATTTAATTCAACTCTCTTAAAGATCTCTCCATAGCATCAATTCCCAAGGAATTGGGAAAAGAAAAAAGAAGGTGGCAAAAAGGAATTTTATCCTTGGCCAAGCAGAAAAAAGAAGACACTACCCTTACTGAAACTGTAAATGGCAAGTTAGTGAATTGCTCAAGTAGCGGATCAGTAGTCAACTCAAGACGGAAACAACAAACGAAGTCATACACACTCAGCCCCAAATCTGGAGCCTATCAGTTAAGGCAGTGTGGCTAAGGTACAGAACAACATACTTGGTCTCTCTAAAAAGGCTGTAATTGTTTGAACATTTAAACCCTCCCACACTGCCGGTTGATACTCAGACACACGTTTTCTTAGAAACTACAAAGATGCACTTCCAATAAAAGTGCTTGAGAGAGTGTTGCATGCAGCCCGCCCATTTCCTTCTGACCTACATCCTAAGAGAGTTTCATGCAGAGACATCAAATGGAGGTAGTAATACCCCCAAACTTGCTATATTTGACAGTATCAAATTACAGTATAGGCCTCAAACTGACTACCATTTCATAAGACGAGCTTCTCCTCACAATCCCAGGGCAGCCACAGGGATGCCAGAGAAATGTGCAACACATTCAGACACCTTTGGATTTCTATGGATTTGTAGGTTACTATTATTGCAATGTATGGCTGTGAAAGCTGGACCATAAGGAAGGCTGAGTGCTGAAGAATTGAGGCCTTTGAATTGTGGTGCTGGAGGAGACTCCTGCGAGTCCCTTGGACCGCAAGGCGATCAAACCAGTCAGTCCTAGAGATCAACCCTGACTGCCCTTTAGAAGGCCAGATCCTGAAGATGAAACTCAACTCCTTTGGCCACCTAATGGGAAGGAAGGACTCCCTGGAGAAGAGCCTGATGCTGGGGACGATGGATGGCAAAAGAAGGAGGGGACGGCAGAGGATGAGGTGGCTGGATGGAGTCACTGGGGCGGTGGGCGTGGGCTTGGGTGGACTCTGGGGGATGGCGGAGGACAGGAGGGCCTGGAGGAATGTTGTCCATGGGGTCGCGATGGGTCGGGCACGACTTCGCAACTAACAACAACAACATTATTGTGAGGAGTGAAGGCTTTTTCCGAGACAGGTGGATTCCACAGACCAGGTTTCCACTTTGGGAGGGATTCGTGTCAATACGCATTTCTGAAAATCTACACAGCTTTATGCACTTTTCTTTCAACTGTGGATCAGTGCAAGTGGAACCAAATTCTGGTAAATCTTCCCCTCTGGTTCTATCAAGGAACAAATGATAAAATTTATTATTTATTTATTGTATTCTTTGGCCAGGGTGACTTAATTTATATTGTTTTATAGGATTCTATTTATTTATGGTTGTGAGCCGCCCCGAGGCTTCGGCGAATGGGGCAGCATAGAAGTTCCCTAAATAAACAAACAAATAAAATGAAAGATGGCCGAAAATCCACTGCACAGATTTAACAAAAATCTGTATGCTCCTAGCCAGGCACCCCACAAAGTCCCATGAACAAGTCTGTGGGGGTTCTCTGGCAGTCTGAAAGAGACGGTACACTTTTCAATAACTTTTAGGACCTTTCCAAGACATTGCTAGGTCCCAGAAACAATTACTGTGTGTTACAGATGTGATGTACACACAACATGGCACTATGCAATCAGACTTGGGTCACACAGAATATTCTTTCTTAATGGGCTGCATGATTTGTAATGCCATAAAACTTCAAAATGAACTTACCATCAGCACCACACAAGCAATGGTGAGTGTTCGGGTCATGGTTTGGTTGAGCTAGATCACAAGACAATGGATGTGTTAACCATATTAGACTCCACACAGATCCTGAAATACTGAATCTTATCCTAGTTTCATTCTTGTCAAGGAGTAAGAAGCCAATAAAGAAAGCAGTTCAAACTGCTCAGTGCTGGTTCATTGTTGTGCCAACCTGTTTTGGACCGTCTGCAATTTGGCTGACAGGTTGACCGGCTCCTATCAGTGGTGAATCAGGCTGTATTTAACAACCATGGACATTTCCTGAGAGCATTAGGTAACTAAAACCAGGATCAACATCAAGGCTTAGAATAACTCAACATAATTTTTATACCTTAAGTATTCAGTCCCACTGCAACACTGCAATTATCCAAACTCAGAGGCTTAGGGGCATCCGGGTCATTTAAGGTCATCAACAGAAGCCCTCCTATGAGTTCCTCTCCCTAAGGAGGTTAAGGTGAAGTTGCAACCAGGGGGGCCTTTTTGGTGGTGGCACCCCCATTATGGAATGCTGTAATCATTATGCTACCTATTGGTGATTTTATGGAATTGTAATGGCCTCCCAGAGAGCGTGACGCTAATGGGCTGCCTTCAAACAAATCTAACAGATAAATAAGTAATCCAGCAGTAGAAGCAACCCTCACCTCCCAGCCCTCCTGCCCTGCAGTTTTGCAAAATGGACTTTGTCACCAGTCCAGCCAGAGCACCTTGGAGGAGGAGGAGGAAACAGCCTCAGGAAAAATACCATATAAATACATATATTTACCTCTTTGCCTTCGTATGTAATCCATGATTTTGTGTTCACCTTCACCAGGAGCACTCGCATCAGATAAAATAACCTAACAGCAATGTAAGCCATATAAATATAAACCATCACATAATACCGGCGGTATAAAATAGAAGCTGAAAGACCCAATATTTGGTTATACCCTGACATTACTACTCATTCATATTTACTTACAAAAGTTTAGGAAACTCTGTGCTACCTAGCGCAATGTCTTTCCAGGTGGAAGCTGGATGCCCACTTTATGCTTACGCTAACGATGCTCATTTAGGCCAAGTGTCTCCCGGGGCCACAAATGTCTGCCTATTCCTAAACAAATCATCAACTTCATTTGCATGTGGCACACAAAAACAAGTGGCTACCAACGGGGAACCCAGGTGGGGTCATTTTGCTCGTTTCTGGAGTGCTTTATTTTTTTTTAAGTAAGTTTTATTTGACATTGAAATTATAATCCTAAAAAAAAAACAAAAAAACCTAAAAACAACATCAATCATCGAACACCAGACCTGCTGGGTCAGCCCCCACACCCTTCTTTTTCCATTTATGATAATTTAAAAACATATTTAAATCTATGTGAAGTCCCATTTCTCTAGCCAATAATAAAAAGAGTCCCAAGTTTGACAGAAGTGTTTCTGGAGTGCTTTATGACGGGCATCATATGGCCTGCATAGTCACAAGCGAGCCAGATTTCCGCTCTTCTGAAGTTCCAAGCCAGCAGTTCAACATTCACGTGCACCTTCACTTAAAACCTCTAATCTACATTAAAAGCACACTAGGAACAAGAAGGGTACTTACCGTCACATTTTTCCATCCTGGGTCATTGTTTAAACGATCAGCAATATAATAACGAAGGCATTTAGCAAGATTGTCCATAAACTCGGTTCCCTAAAGAGCAAACATGTTCTTTAGATTGGGGTGGTCAGATTAGAAGCATGAACTGCTTTTATTCTGTTCTAAGTATGCTGAAACCAGGAATAAAATCTGTAGCTTGGTGGGTGAGAAGGGGGTGATCCATCACATCTGTGATATGGGGCTCACCGGGTGACAATTTTAAAGGTGCATAAATGAGACCGGAAGCAGGAAGCGCATCGACTCGCCCCTTTCCTGCTCCCTGCTGTTCAGGGCAGTGCTGGGGAAGGGTCACGCCCAGATTTAAAGCTCCCACGGACTACAAGCCAGGGGTCGGCGAGGCAAGAGGGCAAGGGGGCGGGGCAAGGGGGCCCAGCTGAAACACTTGCAGTGCAAAGCTCTTACAGGAAGTTAACTTGACAAAAGGCTTTCCCAGCTTTTTATAGTGGGGGGCACTGCGCAAAAGCGGGTGCTTTGGGGAAGAGGCGCGGACGTGTGTGGACTCTGGGAGGGCTGGCGTTTTGCCCCTAGGCCTGTTTTCTCCAGACTATGTAATGCCCTGAACTTGAACGTGTTATCACTCCCTTGTAATGGTGAAAAATCCATTTCCACTAAAAATGCGAGGATTTTTACAGATGACCCAGCTCAGCACCAGGTCCTATTAGCTGTTAGGGGATCAGCATCCTTCTTCTCTCCCAGTGGACGCATTCCCTGTTCTGTGCAGAAGCAGGTCCCTGCCACGCACCAAGCAAACGCTATCAGGAAAGTCTGTGCATCAGATAATAAGTTCCCCTGGACGAGCCTTCTCCAACCTGATGCTCTCCAGAAGTGTTTGACTACAACTCCCAGAACTCCCAGGCAGCATAGCCAATGCTGCAGCCCAGCATAACCAGAAGGCACCAGGTTGGAGGAGGTCACTCCAGAATTTCTTCTATGCATATCTCCAATTTTTCAAATGTCAAGGAAACCCACAGTGCTGCTCAGGCTTTTACGCATCCCTCCCCACCCAGTGTCACAAGCTAGCTTTTCCCCCACCCCTCATAACAAAAACTCTTTATTCTCCAGTGCAGTTCCAGTAACCACAACCAACCAAGAACAAGCCTCTGAGCATGCGCAGAGGGGTTCACTAAACACAACCTAGCAATTACTTCTATTTGCCTTTTGATTACTCCCAGGGCCCTGCCCCTGGGGTGTCATGTTTGGAGACGGACAAGCCTCTTGGTCCATCGCCCCTCTAGATGGCCAGCCTGTTTCTCCTGATGCCACATCACGGAGCTAAGACTCACGCCAGGCTTGGCTGGCTGCAGGACCTCTTCCCCGCCCCCACAGCTGTCAGTCCTAAGTATTTTCAACGTGCGCTTGAGCAGCTGGGGACAGTGCCCTTGAGATGAGCCCTTCCACTTCCTCCATTCCAACACCTGAAAATTCTGGTTCCCAGGTCCCCTCGTCACTCGACAAGCCCACACCTGCTTGAACTTGGAAGACGCGCCAAGAATAACTGCCCTTTTCATTCCCCGCACCCAGGTACGCGGAAATCAGAACCAACTGCTCCTTCCGCTTCCAAACAGATGTCCAGCTGAGCTTGCAATAAAAGGAACAGCATCCCAATCTGGGAGAATGGGCTTGAGGGCAAAATGCTAGATTCCAAGATGGCCCAGAGACCCTGCCTCCAGGAATGCAAATCAGCACAGGTTTTTCCTCATCCTCCAGGCCACAAGGCCCAATCCGTCTGGCAGGGACACCCCTGCCCCTCCGCACTGCTGTCCTACACACACCTCTGCCCTTTCCCGTTGTTCTTACGCAATGCCTGACAACGAAAAAGTACCACACACGAGAAGAGCACCGGCAGCGGTCATGGAAAGGACGCAAATACAAATTTACCTACAGGAGAATCCTGCACGCGTCTTTCGCTTACTGTCTGTGTCTTGTCTCGCTACCAGCTCTCACCTGCCACCTGCAACTATGGGATGCCCCCTTAAGCTTTTCCTTGTAGAAGACAAGGCCCTTTCTCCATCTGCGAGTTCCAGCAAGCAGTCTTTGCACGCGCAAGAACTGCCAAGCCCAGGCTGCCCCCACAGCCCTTCTGAATCCAGGTGGAGGGAAGAAACCTGTAGCCAGTCGGGCATTAGTCGGGAAATTACGATCAGTGCTGTGCCCACTCCCCGCTGGGAGGTTGAGTGTAAGAGTACTTACTGGAGTAATGCAGTTGCTGTCAAATCTTTCTTTTACTTCTTCTGGTGGGAGAAAGCCACCTTTAAAAAAAGACACAGCATGCAATGGAAAACTGATCTGACAAACATCGTTTCTGGGCAAAAGCAGAAACAGACATGTTCCACCACACTTATTTTGGACTCTGAACATCTCGTTGCACCAGTACTAATATGACTGAAAACTACTTTCAACCGGGATATAGAGCTGGCTGCACAATTGTAAGCGTGCTTACTCACAGCATTGGCTTATGCTCACTCCCATATAGACTGGTGTGGGATCATACTTAAAATAGTATTTATTTATTTAAAGTTTTTATATGCTGTCCCCTGGCTACACAGCCTCGGGATGGTTCACAATAATAAATAATAAAACAATTACAATTACAATCCGGAAACACACTAGCTGCACAATTAAAATCTATAAATATTTACCATTATTAAAATACTGTTTGAATAAAAAGGTCTTGGCCTGGCGATGAAAAGCAAATAACAACGGCGCCAGGCGGACCTCTCTGGGGAGCGCATTCCACAGATGGGGCGCCACCGAAGAGAAAGTCCTCCTCCGGGTACTTTGCTTCCTGATATCTTATTATGGGTGCAAACTATGAGTGATTAGTTAGAAAAACATGTACCTTAATTTTGTTCTGCTAGTCACATGCAGTCGCAGGTGCTCTGCAGGCCACTCCACAATCAAAACGTTATTCCACAACCCATCTTTCACAATGTGTTGGTTACACACTTTCATGTATTTTTCCACAATTTTAAGCAGTACAAAATTCCTTTCTTAAAATAATGCACAGATGAATTGTGTCCAATATCATTTTGTGTAGCTTTTCTATTCCCCCCAAGGAGTCATGGAATGTACACAACCCTGATATGGTAGCTGTTCATCTATACAAAATTAAATTAGGATCTTCTCTCCAAGGCTAAAGATTTGCTGTCTTCAATTTTCATTCATTTCTGTCAAGGACAATATATACTTCACAAGATGCACCTCTTCTTTGGGTCACTGCTTAATGATGCAATCTGGATTCTTAGAGAATTTATATACCTTTTCCCAAGATCTCTTCTCTTATTCTCTGCTTCTCTTCTGCAGTTTCCATTCCTTCCTTGGATGCTCTGAATCTTCTGGATCTTTGCTGGTTCATTTTTGCACGGGGAGCCTGCAAGGATAATGCCAGGGTCAACAACGTGACTTGTTCTGAAAACGTAGTTTTGTATTAATCCTGAACTGGACTTGACTGAATAACTTAACTTGGAAATTTCTTTACTAAACGTATACTTTTGGAGAGAATGTCTACTTTACCTGCTGACGGTGGCAAAAACAAAACACTGGAATTGCGGCACATTTTCCCTCCTACACCAGGAAAAACAGCGCACTAATTCAATCTGATTTCGTACTAATGCAACTGGGCCTCAGCTTTGAGCTACATGTACTGGACTTTGGGCAGCAGCCAAATAATCCAGCCAAAATGAAGCCCTGTACCCCGATCTAGCTTTCTCAGAGACTTCTGAACTGAAAAGTTCTGAACGGGCTGCTTTTCTGGGGGTAGCTCTAAGGGAGCTGTATCTGGAATGCCACATACCGAGTCTTTCAAAGGATTCCTTTTTCTCAGATGCTGCTAACACCCCTCCAAAAGCAGGCATGGAAAGTTGTTGTCTTTAAATTGCATGGGGCAGAACAGGGCCATCCTGGACTGCCAAATACAATGCTGGAGAACCTTTCTGTACTTACCACTCCATCTATAGCCATGTACAGAAGCCGCCTCGGCCTGACGATATTGAACAGCCTGTCGATGTACTCAAAAATGGCTACCATCATTTCATCTTCATTTTTGGGTGCTGGCCTGGAAATGGAGGGCCACACGTTAATATCTGAAGCAACGCCTCACACAGCGACGTCTTTAAATGTGAAAGCCACTCACTTATCCTCCGGGTGTGTGCAAGGATGAATGATGCCATTCATATCCAAATACAGGTTATCAAATTCTACTTCATTCGGGTTCGGTTTGCTGGTGTCCACGGGGATTTTGATGCCATTGCATTCTTTAGCCTGCAAGCAAGGAATGCCAACAGAAGACTCTCAGAGGTGGCCAGACGATTCCAATGCAAAACGGGACCAAACAAAACCCAAGCCCACAACTTTCAAGAAAAAAAACCAGGCAGAAATGGAAAGGAAAGCTAATGGGGAAAAGTAGACTGTGACTCATGAAGGAGTAAGACCTCTCTCCGCTGGAATCGGGATTATTTCTCCCTCACTGAGTCCCCGGTGCCTTTGGCATAACTATAGCAGATTTTGCACTGCAACTCTGCGAGTGAGAAATGTGCTTTCTCCTGCTACCACTATTCGATACTTAAAGCATGATGCCATGGTTGGCTAGACTCTGGATGGCCACAGGAGAGATCCAAGCCCCAGCTGTGACCTCAGAAACACACTCAGAGGGCTTCCCCGCCACCTGCACAGTTGGCATGGTCCTTGCGGCTGCTGCAGCTCCACGGTCGTCTTCCAAGCACAACGTCAGGGGTCTGCGGATTCCCCAGGGGCGGCGGGGGGCGGGAGGCTCCCCTGCGCTGTGGTGTAACCTGGAGGCACCTTAGCCTGTCTGCCTTGCATGCTGCGGAAAAGGCTCGGCCAAAACCAGGCCGACCATGGCTGCAGCTCCCTCCGCCTTTGGTTCTCCCGGAGACACTGCAGCAGGGGAGTTTGCTCCCTCCAATGCGCCATGGCGCCTTACGGGCTGTTTTAGTCTTGCTGCACTTTCTGATAACTAAAAGCTTCCGTTCCCTCGGGGTCAAGGTAGCTTTTCTGACCCCCACTTCACAGCACCAGCCCACCCCCAAACCCCAGTTTTCAGCAGCAATCTGGAGGCCCTGTCCATGGTTGCCAAATGTTTTTCAATGTGTTTTTCTCCACCCTACTTTTTGCAAATATTTGCCCGATATATTAAATAAAATAGCCGCATCTGTGCAACTGCTGCCATTCACAGTTGCCTGGTTTTGGAAATGCAGAGCCTTCGGTGGCCTATGCAGGAGTGGGGGCATTGCCTGACAGAGGCTACACTTAAACGTTTATTTTCCACTTTGTTCCATCTGATAGCTCTCAAATGGAGAGCTGGGGAGTGTAACCAAAAGCATCCTTCACAAGCATCACAATAAGGCAGCACTCTGAGTGGTTTAATTATTCCCCCGTCCCAACAAAAATCTAGGTTGAATAATTCTGTTGCACTGAGCCAAAAATCAGCATGGGGCACTTCTTAAAGCTTTGCTGTTTATGAAGTATAAGCAAAATCAACACGCTAAATCAGAGCTCCCGAGGGCAGCCTTCCCTACCTTGGCACCCTGCAAATAAGTCGGCTTACAGCTCCCATGAAACCTATCCAAACATGCCTAAAAGCCAGTTCAGTGTAGCCAGAGGGCATCTGACGCTCACTCTCTTGCATGGCCAGATTCTTACATAACCACATTGAGAATCCACGTTAGGGGCCTACCTGCCCAGAGAGCAGAATCAATGGTAGAGAATTATCACAGCAATAGATTTGCTCAGGTTCAACAGAAGATGTTCCTTTTCATAGAACCAACTATTGATGGTTCCAGCAATGACCATGATGTCCCACATTTCTTGAGAATCAAGGATCTAGCTTCCTAATCTTTCCTCACATGCTATTTCAACCACACAGTTCTTTATCAAGTCAAATATTAATGGATCATTAATGCCTAGGTCACATATCTCTACTATGGATAAATTCTAACCGTATATCCATCACATCAAGAGCAAAAAACCCACACTCTTTTCAGCGAAGAGCTCAAAATAAAATCAGTCAGGAAGGCTTGGTAACCCTAAGCAACACTATTCTACCAGCTGGATGTGGGGAACATAACTGAAAAGTTTCACGGAAAATTGAAACACCAATTTCACAGAAAAGCAAAATGATGTTGATTAAAAAACAATTAAGTTGTGCAACAAATGAACAACTATCACAGATGGGATGAGCCACAAAACACATACTCTTGGTGGAACCCACAATTCTCTTTCACACAAATCCTACTCAGTCCAGGAACTCATTTCATTCTGGACCACCTCCTCATAACAAAACGAAACAAACACACACAAATCACTGCCATGCCCACTTCCCATAAAACAAACAGCTTCTTGATTGCTACTTCCAAACACACATACTCTCTCTGCAGATCTAGCCTGCATAGAAATCTCTCTAGATCACATCCCTCCCCACAAAAAGCCATTCTCTTTACAGCCACTTCATCCCCAAGAGCAACCCAGAGAGAGTTGGGGCCTTCCCAACCCCACAGTTCTTCCCCTTTGCCTCCCATTTATCAGCAAGGCAACTTTTCCCCCCTCACCTCACCCCAGTGTAGGAGGGTTTTGCAGGTGAGGGAGAAGCAACTGAGCTTGGACTTCCTACTGTACAGCCCTCTTTCCTTCCTGAAAAATACTCTGGGGCATTCAGAGGCGTGCTGGACAGACTGGCCAGTTGCTTTCCAGCTGTTTTTTTAAACAACTGGGAGGAATGAGGGTCCCCGGTGGGCATCCAGACACAGGTACGGTGTGGTGGCTACCAGCATTGTGCTGTCAATCCCAGTGCTATCTTCTTTATCTTTCCTCCTGTAAAAGCCACACCCCACAACCCACTGCAAAAAGTCTGGCTGGATGCTGGTGAATTCCATGAGACCTGAAGGGCACTGAGTACACAGGACCTTTCTACATATTTCAGTTCTAAAACACCATTGTTCTGTAGTCAGCTATCAGGCAGTATACACATGAAACAAATGTCTCCTGCAATCTACAGAAGCCTCAAACTTGTCTGTGAGTTGTCTTGTTTCATTGCCCCAATAGGCAGGGAACCATCCAGTTCATCACCTGCAGTCCCTCATCAACAGTACATTTTTATTTATTTTCCGATTTATATCCTGCCTTTTTCCGACAAAGGGCTCAAGGCAGCTTACATCTCCTCCTCCATCTTATCCTCACAACAACAACCCTGTGAGGTCGGCTGGGCTGAGAGTCTGTGACTGGCCCAAGGTCACCCAGCTGGCTCCATGGCTGAGCGGGGACTCGAACCCGGATCGCCTGAGTCCCAGTCCCATGCTCTTCACCACCACACCACACTGGCTCATTATTAACATATTCTCAGTATTATAAAACAACAATGCCACACTTGTAAGATAAGACGTAAAAGACCTACTTTCCAAGGTTGCACAAGTGAAAACAGGCTCTCTCCTGTGGGTATGTAATACCATTATTGCCACACCATGGGTGGCTATCTAAAACCCCTTTCTACACTGTAATGTACAGTCCAAGGCTCTTTGCTTCCTGTTGCTTATTTGCTCTACAACAACTCACTTCTGAAACTCCAGACACATAACAAACATATCACGTAACAAAATTAAGTGCCACTGGTGGCATGGTGGTGAAAGTGTTGGACTGGTGACCCAGGAGATCTGGGTTCTTGTCCCCACTTGGGCAAGAAGCTCACTGGGTGACTTTGGGCTGGACACAGGCTCTCAGCCCAGCCTACCCCACAGGGTTGTTGTTGGAGCTTTGTAAACTGGTTTGGGATCTTCACAAAAGGAAAAAATGGAGAGTATAAATGCAACGCAGTAATAATTCACAAATGAAGCATGTTTAAGTTGGGCCTTTATTATGCAACTCAAACACATTCAACAGCTTATTATGCAGAGAGGCAGATCCTGGACGGGTACGGAAAGGGGGGCCGGCATTCACGTCCAGTGTTCCTATACATCCATCAGAGACAACGCGACGAAAATCAAACGGTGCTGCTATCCCATGCACGGCATTCGGGCATTTCGCCGGCTGAAACGTGCGGCGCTCTAGCGGGCCAGCGCGCTCACTCAAGGGACGGCTCTCTGAGGCAGCCTTCCCCAGCCGGGCGACCTCCGAAGACCAGGCTGCGACTTCCCGCACCCCAGCCGGAGGCTCCCGGGCCAGGGAAGCCTGCTCGAAGCGCCGGACAGGCAGGGCCCCCGGCCGGCATCTCCTCTCCTCGGTGCAGCGCGGGTCGCGGCAGAAAGGCGCCTGCGGCTCACGGCGCCCATGAGCGAGAGCCTTTCCGCCCCGCATCCCGGGGAGCCCTGCTGCGCTCCGCTCGACCGCAGGCCGCGGCGTCCGAAGGGCCTTCGCGAGGCGAAGGGGCCCCGGGGGCGACGCGCCGCTGCGCAGCGGGCCGCGCGGAGGGCTGCCGGCGTCGCCTTGCCGGCCACGGGCCCTGCGGGCAACCGCTCCCGCCCGCTCTCGGGCCTCGCCGCCGCTCCCCGCCCCGCGCGGGACGGCGATGCGAGGCGAGGGGCGGGCGAAGCGAGGGGCGGGCGGCGCAGGCCCACAGCGCGCCGGGCAAACCTCGCGAGAGCGGCGCCCGCCCCCGCGGGCTCGCGCTCACCTTCTCCTCGGTGCAGGACACGATGATCGACGGGTACTTGCGGCTCAGCCACCGGAAGAAGGCCGGGACCCCCATGGGCGCCCACCGGTCGGGCCCCGAGCTTTCCCAGAGGTGACCGGCGGCGGCGCGGAGGAGCTTCCGGGGCACGGGGCGCGCGGGGCATGACGGGGCCGGAAGGGGGCGCGCGTCACCCGCGGGGGCGGCCCGGGAGCGGCGGGGGAGGGTGCTTCCGGCCGGGCCGGCCCTCCTCGCAGGGCTGTTGTGGCGGGCGCGCTGCCCGGGAGGCGGGAGGGGGTGCCCCGCGGGGCGTGCAGGCCGCTCCCCATCCCTCCCTCTCCGCTTGGCGGCGGCTGCGCTGCCCGGCTTGTGCCGCCCGGCCTCGTCCTCCCCCAGGCGCCCCGCCGTGGCCGCCCAGCGACAACCCTGCGAGGCGGGACAGGGCAGCCCCTGGCCCGGAGACGGCGCCGTGGCTGCGCGGGGGCCGGAGCCAGACCGGCGGGCCCTGGGAGCGCTCGGGTATTATGCCGTGTCTAGTCGGTTCAGTCAGATCGGCGTATTCTGTACATCCAGCGGGGCTCTCGGTGCGGATGGCAGGGCTGACGCTAGAACGGGAGCACAACTGGTGGAAGGCCCAGATTCAAGGAACAGTGGTGTTCAAAGCCCCCTTGAACCACAGCACAGTCCGCCGCCTTCAGTCAAGGTAGCAGGAGGAGCGGCGTAGCCAGGGAAAGCTCTGAAGACCTTTTATCATCAGGACAAGAGGAGATTCCTCTGGTTTCTAATGCGCAGTTCGTTTTGCTTACTGAAAATAGCTTTGTTAATTCCTCTGCTGAGATCTCTGTAATGTTCGAGCTTGGCATTCTCCATCATTGATAATACAATCCTCTGTGCTTTTGTAGTCATCTGAGGACCGTAACCAAGATGCAGTGCATGCAAAATGTCCTAGTTTCAATCCTGGTGTTTCCAGTGTAAAGGTTTGGGTAGTTTTAATAGGGAAAGACATTTAGAGGGCCCCAGAATAGGAGTTTAAGACTGTGTCCCATTTTTGCATTCCTTTGGATGGGTGGGGAGAGAGATGGATGAGAAACAACAGGCACATTCATGCTAGTTTATAAACGTATAAATCTGAGCCATCTTCCACTGCAAACATAACCATGTGAAGAAATGGGAGATAGATTTTGGAAACACAGGACGGTTGCACTATTTTCAGTGAGATCGCGACCAGACTTCCTCTTAATGCTAATCCATACTTTAATCAGTTGATTATTGTGACCTGCGCATAAAGCTGCACTAAAATCATGCTTTAATAACCACAGATACACAAGAAGCGTTGTTGGATTGTAAAATCTGGTTTGTTTAAATCTTGGGTTTTTGTTATGTATGAACACAGAATTAGGGGTTTTTTCAGCAGATTATAGCAGCAGGCAACAGAAGTTTAAAAAGACCTAGTTGCTCTATGGGTCAGTAATGTAATGCAGCAAAGGCATTTGAGAAAGGGAATGAGCAGGTGAGAGAAAAGGGAACTAAGCCAGTTCGTTTGATCATCTGCAAGATAACCCATGGGTAGGAGAACAAACCCCATGGGTTCTTACAGACAAGTAGGTCATGGAAAACAAATATGATACTTCAAATTGTATTTATACCAGACTAGCATGCCTATTCATGGTGGAGGTGTTCTCTAATAGCCTGAAAACTTTTGAAAATAACTGTTATAAACAAGTAAAAATGGCATGAGATAGTTAAAACTACCAAACTTAGGTTACTTCAAAGGTATGTTAAAAGAATACATAACTACTTTATTTGAATTACTAGATTAGTACTCATGTATGTTACTATCAAGATACAGCATTTTTCTCTGTGTAGCATCACATGCTATGTTGCCTTTGTGGTGAACAGAGAATGTTGCTGGTACATTTACTAGTTTCTCCTGCACAAGGTGGACCTAGATGGAGAGGCGAGCCTTTGTTTCTGGGATGTCCTCTGAGAAGGGAAGAATAGTAAAAAAGGCTAGTGATTGTAACACCTCCCTCCAATGTTTCCCTAGGACGCAAGCAGGAAACTGTGCGAGTCAGTGGCTTCTGTAGTCACGTATTCAAAGATTCTTTGAAATCCTTCACGGTCCTCTGCTGCTGTGTCTCAGCTGGTGGGCAGAAGATAAGAATGGTGGATAAGACTGGAGCCTTGAATAATTAGCCTTGTTTTTATAATTGCTTCTTTTTTGTTACTTTATTTCAAAACCACCATGTACATAGTTTCACAAGCAAACATGGCTGTATTGTGAATGTAATGCTTGTATTGTTGTTCTAACAATGGCTGCTTGCGTGCATGACAGCGCGAGATGCTGTCCTGCATCAGGCTCGAGTGATGCCGATTTCAGCAGAAAGATTTGCTCTAGGCATCTGCTCGCCTGTGGATCTGCAGCAGGTAGATGCCTGGAGCAATCTCTTTCCATGAACACCCATTCCGTGGGGCGCGGTGGGGCTGCTTTACTCTTCAGGTCCGGATGTCATGAGAAGCTGTGAAGCATGGAAACCTTACCACGCACAGCTGCATCTTTCTGTGCTTTTGAGAAGCCAAACGTACCGTGCCGAAACTCCATAACTGGGTTCTGACAGAATGGCAGACCAATAGTAGGAAATAACCATGGCTTCTTGGGATGTGTAAACCAAACGACCATGCCTTTCCCAGTGTTTTGGTCCTGCAAAAAATTATTCTCATCTCTGGCCATAAGGACTGTATGCTGTCCAATACATGCTGTCCTCTCAATGTATGGCTGGACCTGTCCAAATTTTAACTATTTAAACCCTGGACCTGTTCATATATAAATTATAGCGTATAAATGGATAAAAAAAGATGCGGCATGTTCAAGACTTGGTATTTTTTATTGTAGAAAAGGTTTTCCACAAGGTAATTCTGCAACAGATAAACGTATCTATACCTTTTTTAAAATTTAAAAAGCTGCTAGTGGAACTCCTTGGCACAGAATCTGGAATGTGTATGGAAATAGGCAGAGGACCATGCTGGGAGTGAAGAAGTGAAGCTGTACTGCCAGGTTTCAGTACCAGCAAGTGAAAGCAGGGCCTCAGTGCTAACACGTTTTAGGTGTTTATGTTTGTTTTGGCCTTTCCCTAGTCCTGAGCTATCTTTCCCCCAACCACATACTACTAGTGTGCATGTGTGCTCCTGTTTGTTCTTCTGTAAACTGCTTTGGGATATATTTCAAATCAGAGATGGTATATAAGTATCGCTAATGAATAAACACACACGACAGGTCGTCACACGGTTTATTATCCCTCTTTGTAGGATACATCTCATAGGTTCCTCGAGAAGGGATTCTGTTCAAGTCCAGATGTAATACTGAAATGGTTGTTTGTAAAATAGTTTGCAGTTTTTATTTATTGTAGTGATTTATATCTTGTCTTCAGAATATGAATCCTCCCAGGAAGGGTTGCAAGTAAAATTCCAGCATTAATTAAATGCAGTGATCGAAACTGCCAAATCATCCAAAGCTTCCCCACAGAGCAGTTGGAATTGCTTCAGCTGCTCATGGGAGAAGAGGCACTTGCTCTTCCCTCTCGCCAGCTAGCTTAAAACGTTTAAAACCTTGCCTCTCATCACGCCTTGCTCTTCAAATAATATGCTGTTGCCTCCTGTGTCGCCAGTTCGCTACCCCTTTTCTTTGATGCAAAACTTGCCTCATGGATGCTTTTGCATACTTTATCACCCTGCTTATAGGAAGGTCTTGAGAGAACCTTCCGACAAGAGCCTTGCCTAAAAGGGAACCAAGGTAGCGCATAATAGAGGCAGGAATAGATTTAAGAATTGGAAGTTCTTATTCTCCTTTTCCAACCAAATTTGGGTTGCTCTGATTTACAGCTGGAAAGTACAGGCACTTCCATAGTTGTCTGCCTCTGACGAGCACAGCCCGGTTTTTGTAGACAGTATCTTTTCCTTGCTTTCTCAGCATGTCCATTCCGGCTGTCTTGTGCTTTTCAATAAAAACCTGTAACCCTGTTTTTTCAGGCCTAACTCTGTGTGATGTACTTGGAAATTGTTTCTTCCCCAAGAGGCCGGGGGATTTTCATTAGGACCACAGCATTCAGAGAGGGAATGAACTTCTTCCCCTGCCATGGTCCCAGTGAAAACAATCCCCTTTCATCTATATTTTTAAAGACATTTTTATGTTTTTCTCTTTTTTGACATCTTCCTAATTTAATGTCTAGTTTGGCTGTACTATGTGCAGGAAGTCCTCAACCAGTTAGCCATCCCCTCATTTAAGTAAGAGGGAGCCATGTAAAAATTCCTGGCACAGGAAGGAAACTTCACCCACGGGGGAGCATGTCTTGTGTTTTGCTTGTATTGTAGCGAATGCAGGTCCGCACAACACACGGCACGGCAAGCCAGGAGTATAAAATATTCTGTCGCTGAGGCACATAGATGAGCTGTAGATTTTTCAAAAAATAATACAGCTTACAGCTACATCCCAAGTGCCAAGTGAGACCAAAGTACATCTGGCGTCATTCTCGTGTGTATTAACTGACTGACATTTTAGGTTACTAGCTGCCACGAGAGGAGAGCAAAGCACAGACTGGAATAGCAGAGGGGGTGGCACGGAACCCTTGGCTTCCCACCCAGCCTGAACCCCTATCCAGACCCCTGTGGTGCTATTTGCAGTGGTAGGAAGTGCCCATCAAATGACAGCTTTCTTCCTGGGGCCAAGCGCAGCGACTGGGGCTTGGGGGTGGGTGGCGAGAGCAGGAGGAAATCCAGACTGACTGCAGTGGCGACAAACAGTTCAAGGGCCTCAAGCCAGAATCCCTATGTGGATCGGGAACTATGCTTCACATGAAATGATTAGTAACTTGCCTGAATAACATCACGTCTGTTTTGCTCCAAAATTGGACCTGAGCTGTTTTGTAGTAGCATGTAACAGCCATTTTAGAACATCGACAGCTGCGTTGAGGGAATGGGCTGGAACGGTGTCGGAGGTCCGCCTGCCAACTCCCATTCTCACCACCCCAGGCAAGCAAAGCAAGTGCATACAAAGGCAAGGAGCGAGTCTCGGGCCTTTCAGCTTGAAACCAGCCTTTACACCCACGCGCAAACTTGCAACCCAAGCAGGTGAGTTGAAGTGGGGAAGTGGGCCACAGAACAGGCTGCATGAACCCACCTACCACCACCCCTTCTCCAAGCAGCCCCCTCCCCAGCTGCTCCCTCGGTAAAGCACCCGCTGGGCGTGTCCTGTCGTCGCACGCGTGTCGGGTCAGTCGCAGAAGTCGTCCTCGTGTGAGCCCTGCACTTGAGGACGCAGAGCCGCTTCAATCTCCGAGTTGCTGTCGTCGGAGTCGCCCCAGAAGGCTGCATTCGGAAGATCGGGGCAGCGGGAGGAGAGAGCACAAAAACGTTCACCTCACTCATGCCACGGCGCCCTAGCCAGCTGCTTATGGGAGGCTGCCTTCCACCCGAGGCCAGGATGCCCTCCCGCACCTGTCCCAAGGATGTCGGGACCACCACTGACTGGCCCCGGCCTCAGCGATAAAGCAGCGCTCGCACTCCCAAGCCTTCTGTTCTTGTTTGTGCGCTTCCCAGAGGCCTCTGGCTAGCTACTGCTAGAAACGTGTGAGCACAGGGACTGGTCCGGTCCATGCTCTTCTAAACCTTGCTCACCAGAGGTGGCGAGGAACTGGCATTCTCAGTTTTACTTTAGTCTTTAAAAATGATGGTATACTCACCTTTGGATTTTATGGCAGACACCACTCCCTTTTGGACTTCATCCCTAGAGAAAACATTTTTAAAGGTGTTAGCAAACGCTTATCAGTGCCCCTCTGACTGTACTTGTGAAAGTCTTTGTTGTGAAACAGAACACAGAGAGAGTGAGAACACGGATAACCTTATAAGAGAATAATCCCAGACAGAAAGAAGTGGTAAGGCCTTGTTCTTCTGAGACATGTAGGTTCACTCCCTAACAGCACCGAGCCAGGAAGAAATGTGCACCATGTTGAAGATATTCACGCCCTTTTCTGTATCAGTCGGACTCTCCACAAAGGAGTCTTTGCAGGTTTTCAGCATGGCTCAGTTTTGGCTGAAGACAAAAACTACAGGACGTTCGCGGTGATGGGTGATCATCGGTTGGGGTCTGTTACATTACCAGTGCAGTTTCCCCAGTCCAGTCTCAGAACAATTACTTGTTAAGAAAAATACGACGAACCCCCCCACTCTCTCTCTCTCTCTCTCTCTCACACACACACGTACACGTACGTTGGAAAGCCAGCACAGGAAAACAGCTTGCTGGAAACGGCAAACCATTACACGTCTTCACCTTCAACAGGAATCACAAGCCTCTAAATAGCTTCAGAATGTAGATTCTATCGAGACTGATTTTTGCTGAAGGCCAAGTAAACTGGTAGCAGAAAATAGGCTTTGAAATGTTTTCACAGTTGCTAAGTTATGGCCCTGAATGTCCTTGCTAAACAATGTACAAAAGTCAACAATCTATATTTTAAAAGGTGTTAGAAGAAACTTCAATCTCACCTCACATACATCCTCATTTCCTGGTTCAAAAACCCATTGCTAGGTTCCCATAGCTGCACCCCGATTCCTATGCAAATACTGCAAGCTTTCAGCTGCTTTTGATCTACCTTGATGCAAATAAAGTCACCATTTTGTTCCGCTAAATGGATGCTTTTGTATCCTGAGCATCACAGACAGTTGAATTGCCAAACAAGCTGGAATCGGTTTGATCTTTTGTGTGTTGCCATGCGCATGGTGTGGTTGCTGCTGCAAAATAACATCACAAGGTGTGAAGATCAACTATTCCATTAAGAGCCTTGTGATAAAGGACCAAAGAAACGGACCTCCAATCTATTTTAATGTGGGTGATATGGAAGAAGAAATACTGTATTTTCTGAGAAGGGCTAACATCAAGGCTAACATTAAGCATCTTCATGGGCAGTCCAGTTACCAAGTCTACCAACAGCTAATTAATCCACAGCAGGTCTTCAAGCGAGGCCTAACCACGAGACGCACTGCCAACTCCGACATCGCCATGTCAGGTGAGTCAAGCGAAGCGTCTGTTCCCCACCGCATCCCTCTAAAAAGCGTTGGGCGACTGCACAACTCGTTCTTTTTGGGGGGAAGAGGCCTTCCATCCCAGCTGCGGGTACAGAGTCTGCAGGAAACTTTCCGGGCGGAGGGATGGAAAGTCCCCCCCCCCCACTGTGCATGCACGAGCACATTAAATAGAACTGCCAGCGAGAACAGGTGAGGGGCTTGCTGACAACCCGTGCACACACTCGGCAGCCAGCAAACACGATCAGGGACGGCCTGATCAGGGGATGCTGCTGCTTCGTAATTAAAGTCAAATAATCCCTCTGCAGAAAGGACAGGGAAGCAGGCAAATGCAAATGTAGGGAACAACACCACGGAACGGCGTCTTCCGAGACAGTTTGCTTTTTATTTAACAAGGAACACGTAAGTGAAGCACAACTGAAGCTCATCTTACATTGACCAAAGCCAAGTCATGTTGGGCGGAGCTACTCGTTTCTGCGGTTGCATAATTCTTTTCCCCTACGGAATGCCCTTGTGGGAGGCTGAAATCTTAGGAGCAGGAGGGATGGGAAGTGGGGCTGCTTGACTAATAACGGGTAAGGACAGAGCTGAGTACGCAGCTGGCTACCCAGCATCCCCCGGAGGGTCTGAGCTGCCCCACGCAGCACAGGCCAGGGTCAGTGACCGCCCAGCGGGTGCAAAGTCTGGAGGACACCAGGTTGCGTTTCATTGGGAAGGGGAAGCAAAGTCACTCGGAAGACGGAGCATTTGGCCATGCTCCGGGTAGGCGTTGGCCTTTCGCGCCTGCAGTTTCGGTCCCTCCCCACCGGTTCCCCTCCGCCGGCCTGTCAGCCTGATCTAGCAAATGGACAGTCCCCTGCCTGGGGTCTGGAGGTTCTGGATTGCTCCGCAGGCCCTCCCATGTCGCACCCTAGGACTCTACTAGGGCTTGGAAAGAGAGTGAGGATGTTTGTGGGCTGAGACTACACATGACATCAATATCTAGTCCGAACTGGCAGCAGCGGTATGCTATTACAAAAGGGAAATGTCCAAATGGAATAACCTATCATTATTATCCTAGGATCTCTGCTATAAAGGGTAGCGACCAAACAGCTCTCTTCTGTTGTTTGGTGGGTGTGGAGACAATTGGCGACAATCTGAAGAGGTGTCCACCAAAGCGGCAACCGATTGCCACAACACTCCAGGACACCCTTCAATGATGTTCTCTCCTGCTCCAGCAATCAGCCAAAGCCAGTACATGTTAAATTAAAGCCGTTTTGTTCCGCCAGCATCTCCGTGGCTGACCTCCTCTACATCAAACTGAACTGGACTGATTTTAAATCCTGAAACTCTCAATTGACTCATGGACTGGGATGAACAGGCATGCATCCATTTGGATAAAAGAAATGTGTCTATGTGGGGAACAACTTAGATGCATAGAATGAATGAAAACATACATGTGTATATTCAATACATTAAGAGTGCGATCTCAGGAGATGGAGATCCACTGCCCCCTTTAAACGACAGCCTGGGCAGATCGGTCATTTTAGTGGCAGAGTTGCAGCACAAGGCTAAATAGGCTTACTCAAAAGTCAAACCCATGGAATTAAAATGGGATGCCTTGAGTGGGCATCAGATTGGATGGAGTGTCCTATTACAATCCCAGAGTCCATGCCAGTGTCCCTCTCCCCAGCCCACGTCACGGGGGAGCGCCAGCGTGAGAGTGGATGCCTCCCAGCTCCTGATTCCGTCCTGGCTGCTGAACCATCGACTTGTTCCTCCTTCCCTGCAATCCACCACCCAGCTGTCTCTTAATGCCATCATTCATCTGCCCGGCTTCTTGCCTCCCAGTCCCTCCTCTCTCCCTGCCTCCGCCTCTGGGACAAGCTAGAGCCATTCAGCCCCTTCCAGCGCCATCCCTCCTGGATGCCCAGGGACACAGCTGCTCCACAGAGTCCCAGTCAGACACGCGTCTGGCACAGGCAGATAAGAGCTGCATTCCCAAACACAGAATCTGCACTTCAGGACAAGGAAGCGAATTATAGCAAGAAGGCTCCCATAATTACAAAACTATTTCTACGCTGCCCTCCGGTGGACCCCTAAAGCTCTGAAGTGGAGTCGGGGTACAACCCGCAGCTGCATTCCACACAAAGTTCGGGATTTTGCAAGGCCGACAACCACTGGTTGTATGTTTCCCTCCCTCCACAGCTGCACCAAAGAGACTGGCCCCTCGCTCAATAAGATCATTCTGCATGCTTTTTTTTTTTTTTTTTTAAATCCTTTTATTGCGAGAGCAACAAGAGGTCTTCTCAGTCTCCAAAGGCTGAATGTATCTTACTTTATTTTAACAGTTGGTTAAACTGTCATCAATGCATTCCCAAGCCAGAGTAAACCCAGAACCTTAAACAAGGAACAGAAGCAAATATGAACCCAACTCAGATGCAGCCCAAAAGCAACTTTTTGGAATAGCCAAAGCTGCCCAAGTGTAGCCCAGCACAGGGGCACTGGAGTGGACTGGAAGGTACAGAAGTGTGAATTAGTTCTGCAAGATTCCTAGTTCCCAGTGTTTTCCTGGAGCCTTCTCAACCCTGCGGGCAAGCAATGATAAAAAGCATTTTCAGCTTCTGTAGCAACTGCTTCTCAAAAAGAGGGTGGTAAAAACCAGCTCCCAGATCCCGGCCCCCCATTAACAGGATGATTTGAATACCTGAGCAGTTGTGTGAGAGGCTGCACTGTATATCACAGCATTGCAAGTATTATACTTTCTAGTGAAGATGAACTAAGGCAAATGGCTGTACAATATTATTAGAAATCACTATATATAGGAAAACTGCAATGCCTCCGAGCTGTTCAGGTCTCTGTTGCAGACACGAACAATGTGCAGACTGCTTGCACAGCTGAGGGGTTTTCCAATGAGGAGTCTTTTACTTTTTAAACCAATCCATGGATCCACAAAGTGATTTTGCTGAGAGGTCTCCTGGCAAGGATATTTTGCATCTGCTCTCCCTGATTCCATCCTGTCCCATCACACCTGGGCAGAAAGAAACCACCAGAAAAGTATTTCTTTATTTATTGAGCAATGCTCTCCAGTTGCATCCACGGAAGCAAGTCCGTGTCCATGGGGCAAAGAGTTCTGTGACTCCTCCCTTTGGGTCCTGAGATGGAAGCCACTCCCTGGCCCATCCGCTATTATTGATTGGTTGGTCTTTGGGAGTATGAAGCTCATGTTTCTCCCTGAGGTAGGCCGCTCACCACAGATCACTAGAACTTAGTCTTCCCCTTATTCGCTCCTCTTCAACAGGTAGGTTCTTGTTGAAAGCAACCTTACTTGGCTGAGGGTGCATCCTGTCATGTTCCCATTGGACAAGTCCAGAAGGAAGAAGAGTTGGAGGCTCCAAGGGCTGAGCCCCATGCCATGGTATCTTCCTGACCCTATGGAAGAGCCTGCTATGGTCTTGAAAACTTGGGAAGAGGAGGGCTCTACCTCTGAGCACCCACCAGGTGCCAGGGAGGAAGGTCAAATGTAGAGAACTTCAAGTGTCGGGCTGCAGTAGGGGTCCACCCGGGAGGAAGGGGCCTCCTCATGAATGGCTCTCATCCCAAAGAGGACTCTCTTCCATTAGGCCAAGCACCTGCAGCAGGGGCTTGGGTGGGCCTCTGTCAGCTCCAAGTACAAAGACAAGGAGAAGCTTTCAGCAGCTTCTGGAACCTGACCAGCCATCGGCTTGG